GCGGGCGCCGCGCGTCGCTTTGTGACACAAAATGGACCCTTATCACCTTCAAAATACAGATCAGTCTTGTCTAATAATCGTAAGATGTTAGGGCAGCGCCATCTAGTATTTAAACATAAACATATTCATTTGCGTCGCGGGCGCCGCGCGTCGTAAGCCCCATACCTATTGACCGTACGTGCATCCATTACTGCCACACTATATTGAACTTTATCACATGAGGAATACAGGTCAATTCCGTAAACGTTGTGGTACCGTCCTTGATCCGGAAAATGATTATTTTGAATAATTTTGTCAGTTGTAATGTAAGCATTAATAACAGCAACTTTATTTTTCATGCATGATTTACTTCATTTGATATCTTAATCCTTCAAGCGCCGTGATCTAGACAAAATATATAAAATCATTGTTCCTAGCTACCGGGGTCCCATGCGACGCGCGAAGGCTTAATCATATTATTATAAAGTATTATTAAAATAATGTGTAATTAATAATATTGCGATTCTAAAGTAAATACTCCCTTACATAGACAATTAATAATTTACACAAGACAAAAATTATTAGAAAGAAAGTTAATAATATTGTATTCGACTGTACTCAATGTAATGTATGTAGAAGTTTACAATCAAATTAAATGGTTTTCTAGGTCAAAAGTCAAGCAAAAATTGGACTGATATTGGGCACTATTTCAAGCACAATTTTTTGAGACGTAAATTGTACCTATAGCTCGTTCGATATTCGCGCACTGAGGTGAGTATGCTGGGCGTAGAACCTACGCCCAGCATACTCACTGAACGAAGCCTATAACTCCGAAGTTATTCGAGCACTGTTTTTTCTTTTTGGGCACCGTTTGGCACTATTTGGGAACTATTTTTTGAAGTATGAATTATGTTTGAAGCGTATACAGATTCTCCGGACGTAGGTGAGTATGCTGGGCGAAACCTTCGTCCAGCATACTCATCGAACTATGGCTATAACTTCGCAAGTACAAGAGCACTATTTTTTTCCTTTGGGCACTATTTCAGAACAGTTTTTTGACATTCATGAAATATCAGGATTCCATGGTGAGTATGCTGGACGAAGGGACACGCCCACTGTAATAAAAATGTCCTTTTATTACATACTGTGTTTAAACAGGGTCAATGACCCATCTCTACAGTGTAATGTGGGTTGTGCACACAGAAATATTAAAAACAGGATGTGCATCACGCATACAGTATCTATGGTGCTCAATTGCTCAATTGTTGTTCAATAGTTCAATTGCGCACCATAGGTACCAAAGTACTACTATAACATACTAGCTGTTGCCCGCGACTTCGTCGCGTAGAATATGATTCCTGTTTTATCCCATGGGAGCATTTAACTTTCACATTTATAATACATATTAGTGTGGTTACACATGCGTGATGCACGGCATACTACAACATAAAAGACAATTTTAAGTACAACTTATAAAATTGAGTAGCCTTTTAGTATTCGGGCGATAGAGAAAGTAGCAGATAAACTACAAATTTTACAATAAAAACACTAAACAATTACTTGTCATGCTGTAGGTACTTACATAATATTAAAGTTTTATTTTTAGTTTACAGATAATATGTAGGAACTAGGTAGGTTACTAGCAGAATAACTGTATGCAAGTTATTAGCAAGTCAAGTCATTTCAAAGTTTCCTCACTGAATAGAATAGACAGTTTAATTTTAATTAAAAATTGTTTCCATACTCTGTGAATCCAAGACGATTCTTATGAAGTTTTAAATTTAATCGATGCCCTGATTTAATAGGAAATGAGAGCAGATTTCCTGAGCTTAATCTGTGATCTTTTGACGCCGCCGCAAGAGGAACAAAATTGACAGGTCTCATTAAAGTTGGACAGTTTCTAATGGTAAAGTAGAAGATATTAAAGATGATTGCTTCGACACTGAAGGTTTATTGTAGCTTTTTATAGCGCTCATTAAACAGTTGTTTAATAAGTTTGAAATATGCTACAAACTTGCTTTTGAGTTATTGCGTTACGAAAATGGGTGTTGAAAATATTGAAATTGAAACTGATATTTAACATTTCATTTGCTTCGTTTTAGTTGTAGAGCCAAATATTTTGGATAGATATTTAAGACTGATGAGAAGCAAAGAAGCCATAAGAGATGCAATGTAGAGAACATTCCATACTATGCCTCGAAATTGATATTTTGGTGAAAGTAAAATGATTTTAGAAATCACTTAACGAAATTTGATCTACGCTGCGCTGCAAATGACGCAATGTGAGTTTAAACAATAGGTATATTAGGGGACTTGCCTCCTACTTACTATCGTTTTAAATGTAATTATTATTCTAAGGCCTTGTTTGTAAGAAATAATGTTTCTAACCACATTCCAAAAAAAGTAAAATGTGAAACGTGCATTTTTAAATGGTAGTGCTGTGGTGTGTCCTGTGTGCTATGTCCAGTGTTGGCGGACAGCCGGCCGTGCTCGGACACAGCGTTTTCCGCAGCGCAACCCTCTCTCCGCAAATTCGAAGAATTTATTAACGCTTGGCGGTTAGCCGAATCGTTTTTGTTTCACCTTTTTTCACTGACCGTACTCTTGCTGCAGCGAGACTAGTGTAAAAACAGAAAAATCTGAAGGTTTTTTTTAAATTCAAATCGTTTTCTTTTTGCAAGCTTTCACGAGTTCGTTCGTGTGTTGGTAATAGCGTATGCAGATGATATTAGCTTTTATTAGTAAGAATTTATTATTTACCTAATGAAACGCAAAAAGTGCATTGAAATGGTAGGAAAAAACTAGATTTTTTGAAATTGTTTTGCGTAGTGCTTAACAGCGATAGTCCTGTAAAGTTATTAACTGAATTTATCGTAAAGGTAAGTGCCAATTGGTGCAAACTCACACTAAAGCGTCATGGGCAATAAACAGCGCAGTTATCTAGTTGGTGGCGGATTGTTAATGCAATAGCCGGTCCATGTTGTTGCATTTTTGCAACAAGCGCGCTGCGAAATGTATGCACATAGTCGTTGTAATGCCGCGAAAGCCTGTCTCGTAAATATTTCGCGCACGCAATTTACAGCTTTGGGAATCCTCTTAACGGAATACAGGGGCAGTTAGTGAGCCGGGGGTATTTATAATTTTAACGACGACCACACTGAACCGCTATTGTTCTTTAGATTACTGCTGGAATACACATTTATTTGAGTCGTTAAAATATTTTCTTAACAAAGTGCTTATTGAATAGAACACTCTACAAATTGATAGTTTAGCAACTCTAGCATTAATTAGACTAGTACTCGTCGAGTACCGGTTTTGTAGACACAATTATAGAACAGTTTAAGAGTCTGTGCTTACGTTTTATTTAATTATCCACTTACCTACTAGATAATACAGATTAAAGG